GTTTTTAGAAGAGATCACTCGGAAGGATTAAAGACCTGTTTCAAGGGAAAAAGTTTTCGTACACTTTTTTTTAACTGCGATTGCCCCGCGGGAAATATATCAGGCATGAAAAAGATTCTAATAAAATAAATCGTCTGCATAAACCCCCCCTCTGGGATCCCCTTTTGGTGTGCTAACATAAAAGTGTTACAGCGTAAAATATTTTTTTTTTTAGTTTTATTATACAGTTTACATGTATATAAATACATATTAAGGTGGTCCTTAAAATATCAACATCATGTGCGTGAATAAGTTTCAATAATATGTCCAATTTACAAGATTTAAAGTAAAATTGTGTCGAATGTTTTTTACCTATAAATTTTTTTTGAAATTTTCGCGGATTTTTTTATTTTTAGGGACCACCCTAATAAACACACACATACATACATACATATTTTTTGCCATTGCGCGCTTTTAATAGAAAATCGTTGACAGTTCCTTAAACATATATTAAAAAGATTAAGAAATATCTCAAGCGCTATCAGCTATAGCTGCCCTACATGTTTAACAAGAGCTTATATTTTTCTTGTCCATAAATGTAGTGTTCATTAATTTCGTAAGTGCCACGGCAATAAATAATGGACTCACACAATTCAATAAAGTATTTTACAATTATTTTATGGCTTATCTCTACTTAACAAAAGTAAAGAAATATATTATTTTTTTATTATTCATAAGCGTGCAATACAGTATACGGTTAACGCATTGTGAACAATGCAAAAATAGTAGAAGTAGTTGTACCAGCGATTTTCCTACAAGTGGGGACTCAATTTCAAATATTTTTGGAAATCGATTTAGCTGGTATCCTAATGTGTCACCAAACTAACTACTAAAGATTGTAGAAATTAATGTAGGAAAACTATGGGTTGAGCTGAAAATACTTTAGATTAAAATTTAAATGCAAGTTTGGCATGCGATATCTCAATATTTCATCGCAAAATGGCCCTCAATGATATGATGAAAGTTTTTCACCACACTCTCGGGTGAGGTTTATGCCTTTGACAGCGCCACCAACACGCTAGTTTACCAATTTTGCTAGCCATAAAATATTACCTAAGGAGCCGGATAAGATCACACTGATTTGTCAAAACTGTGGAATTTTTAAATTTATAGTCAATGAGATTTTATGTTTTGTTAAATGTAGAGTTTTCTAACCAGTTTTCACAATCCGTACGTAAAAACGTATATACGTATTTTGGTGTCAGTCACCAGCGATAAGATGTCGTCACTTCTAAACGTCGCTAATATATTTTTTTCTATGCTAATCAAGGGCAATAAATAATTACAGATAATGCTAATTTACTACATTTAACTATTTTCAAATTACTTATCTTTTATTAATATATATTAAAAATACTAATTTATGAATATAAACTAATAAGCAAAAAACAAAAGCAATGTAAATTTGTTAATCTTTATTTGTGTTTACCTGTATATAAGTAAGTACACAGAATTTTTAATGAGAAATTCAAAATTCCACCATTCTAGAACCCCACCGCATAATTCATGCCCACTATCCTTTATCTTCATTATTATTATTACCAGCTTGTCTTGCCTGCACGCGAGCGTCCTTTGACTCATTGCATTTTATTTAAGATTTCCCATGGACACTTAAGCTGAATTTCACGACCCTTTTTCTCGTAAACAACAGTAGCCTGCAGCAGCAATTTATATTAATCAATATTATTGGGGTAATTAAATGATGATGAAAAGGAATACCATTTTTTATAAGAAAAAACATTTTGTTAATTTAAAACTATCAGGCAGGTTCTGCATAACCGAATGAATTTCAACCCCCGCTTTATTGAGCTCAAGCCTGCCTGTATATGTACATATGTAAATATGTATGTACATAAATATAAACTTTACTTTCATTCGGACATTAGGTGTTTACAAATAAGTGTAATAGATAATTATATACCAAAGTTATACATATGTACCTACCACATCGCTGCAAATGAAGCTTATTATATACATATCTAGTTTGGATTAGAAAAGGATTAGAGACATGTGCCACTATTCAGTAGTTAGGGTTGCCATCTTCGATTTTCAGACTAATTACCCAATTTCGCTGATGCTAGGATTGATAACAACTAAACATGTGTCTGTACGTACGTACATATGTCGACATTCCCAAAAAAAATATGGTTATTTATTAACATAATGCGCTATATAATTTAAATGCATGAAATTTTGTATTGTGTCGTTTTTACAGAGGGCCATTATATGTAATATCAAAACAAAACCAAATATTCACACAGTACTTAAGTTTTTAAGACCTTAATTTTCACAGTAAACGCTTGTGAACAAAAGCTGACTTTATCAGAATAAAAATTTAGACTAATTGTAAGCTAAGGCGCACTATTTATCCATAAGTCTCTTGAAATATTTCCAATATTATCTGCATTGACTCAATCGCCTTCAAAAATTCTTAGTTTCGAAGTAACGAAACTTCGTGAATAAGTAGGGTCATTTGTATTTATGAACGTTTTTTTTTTCCGAGGAGAAAGCCTCGAAAGCCTAACCCCGTCGATGTGAGACTTAAACCCACTAAACCTCCTACAGTCTATGTACCGATCCCCCCAAGACCACCGTTAAGTATTTCGTCGGGAGGCGGTTTGAGCACTAAGCTGCACGCCTATTACTGGTCATGTTATTCCACTGTCTGTCTTGGTTGGTGTTAACCTACAGACCTCTTTTGTTCGTTCGTTTCTATATTTGTACTGCCCGGATGCAGCAGTTTAATGCAGGTTCTTCGATACTAGTTTAGAGGTTCGTCCTCTGATTGCCGTAACTTTTCAAGAAAGCGGGCTTTCCCTATGACCTTCCCAGCCGTCATTACGGGTTGTATCGGAGATATTTTAGCACTTGGGCAGCCATATGGCAGACATCTTTCCAGGCTTTCTCGTTCTTAAGCATTAACGATATCAGATTCCCCCCGGTTTGTGTTTGAGGGGCAGATGCATTTTAAAAGCTACTTGAGAAAGCGACACTTAAATAATATTGTTAAAAATCAATATTCAATACATATTGCAAGACACTTTCTGTGGGGGACAAATTGCGCCAGACGCTTTAAAGTTCACGTAATCAATATATAGTTATTGATTCCCACAAAATAAGTTTCATCAAACGCGCGGATACATGGCGTATGAGCAACATATTTGCTACAATAAATGAAAAAAATTTATTTTAGTTCAAAAGTCACATAAATTGCTTTTTTGCATTTTCAGCCAAGTGGTAAGGTTTAACATACAAATAGGTTAGACAAAAGATCATGGAATTATCTCCATATAAAACTGTAATGATACTTTTGTTTCTAAGAACTACTAGGGCGTATTCCTGTTTCCGTACGAATCGAAATTCTTGAAATTTTCTTATCATTTTCTATAAAAAAATTTAAAATTTTTGATTCGTTGGAAAACAAGAATACGCCTTATTGATTCTGGACAATTTGTTGAATTTTTATAATTTTTTCTACAAAGGTTCAAATGTGGATTTATTTATATGGTGTTTGTTGTATAATTCGCTATACTTTCATAAAAATATTAAGCATTAAATAAACCAAGGAAATATGGCCAAAACGGGTCCAGCTCATTTCTTATCACCCTGACATACCAATCTTAATATTAGTAAATAAAATCACGCCATTAAATTAATCGATTTTTGCTAAGGAAGTATTTTGATTATTCCAGTAGAACTATTTATTTATAAAACAATTGGTTTCCCGAGTCGCAGTAAATAATTTCAGGAGTTAAGAGCCCTTACAAAAGGCCTTCCTGAAAGTCAAGTCCACTCTAAATTCCTTTCTCCTTTCTGTTCCCAGAATGGCTTTTATATATAGGACGTACTTCAGAAGGCCTTTTGAATGAGTTCTTTTAAAGTTGTTTCTTTAATTTATAAAAAGCATAGGTACATCTTTGAAGAATTTGCTTAAGGTTTATATCAAATATGTATTATTGCAACTTAAAATGTTTATTGAAATTCATTGTAATGCTAAATAATATAAATTTATGCATTCGCGTAAATTATAAATGAAGAAGCCATTCTAAAAATCCTGCAAGGAAGCGGGGGTTTTCAGCCCTTCTTGGGTACGCCTCTTAGAATGGCTTCACTTAATAATTATCTTCTGGAATATTGGTGTCACAGAAAAAATGGGGTCACCAAATTCGGTCAAAAATTTCAAAATTTACTTCCAAAAGCAATTTAGACTTTAGTGTACGGCGAAGTTTTTTTGTTGGCTTGTAAAGTGGGGCGGTCTAATGTAGATATGTATGTATGTAGGTATGCATAAGCATATACATATCAAAGTATGCTCTACTAATAGCCAAATTGTATTATTGCTTTCGCTGACCATACGCCGCATTGGTCTGTGTATGACGTCATAAATTATCTGTTACGATAGCGAATGCGGCAAATGTGCGGAAATTAAAAAAAAAAAAAACAAGAAAAAATAAACATAAATAACTAAACCAATAAACAAAACCGCTGTTGTGCAGCAGACCACATATTTACATTGGCAGCTGGTGTACAAAGATAATATGTATGTCATACATATGTAGTAATTATCTTATCTTTTTTAAAAAAATATTTTTGTTGGTTCATATTAATTGGAAACTACTTTCAAATTCTACTACTATTTTTGGCTCAGCAAAACGTTCTCGAACACAAAAGAATCCTAGCTTCCTCAGCTCACTGGGCAGGAAAAGTTTTCATGACCCTTCTAAAATTTAGAAAGACCTTAAAAACATTTTGGGATATTCCAACGTTCGAAACTCGGAAAAGCTATTTTTTAAAACATTTAACGGCTGAGTAAATGTTGCCTCGAGACTTTTGAGCTTAGATAAAAATACCTATCTATTAGCTGTAATATTTTTCGTTAACAAATCCCGTATCTAAAATCCTTTATTTTGAGTATTTACTAAACCTGCCCTATTTTTCCTACTTTTCACTCTGAATTGCAGATCCTTGAACCCTTTAGCGCCAAGCGAGTCTACAACCAGCGTGCGCAGTATCAGTCCAACGTCGCGTAAAAGTGCCACCAGCAGTAATTGGAGCAGCCACACCACGGCGAAGCATGAGCAATCGACGGCGGCAGCAACAGCTGCTGCTGCTGCCGCTACAACAACAGTGCCGGCGGAGAAGGAGAAGGAGAAGAAACGCAAAGAGGTCTCCAGTTCGCGTGTGAAGAAATTCCATCGGCACTTCACGCAGGTGTCCAAGGATGAGAAGCTCATTAATTGTGAGTTGCGATATTTGAAAAAAAAAAAAAATAGATCCATACAAATTTTTAATTTAAATACTTTCTCTTGGTAGATTTTTCTTGTGCGCTTGTAAGCGACATTCTGCTACAAGGACATCTTTATATAACGGATCAGCATTTCGCATTCTACTCAAATGTGTTTGGTTATGTTACGAAGGTGAGTTGATTGCGAGCAATACTCAGCGCTCTTCCCCATTGAAGGTGAAGTTTTTCTCCACACACTGCTTGTTATTGATCAAACTTCTGCTTTTCTCCACTCCCCCGCGCCAGGTTGTCATTCCCACTTCGTCGGTAACGAAAATTTCCAAAGAGAAAACGGCCAAAATCATACCGAATGCTGTCGGTGTCGCCACCGCCGACGAGCGCCATGTCTTCGGTAGCTTTATTAGCCGCGAGGCAGCCTTCCGTCTGATGTGCAGCGTTTGTCCGCCACTAGCTCCTGCCGAAATTCTTCCAAAAATACCCGCAGAAATTGAAATTTCCGAAGAGTATTCCATCGAGGATGACAGCAGCTGTTCGATTAGCGGCAATGAGAGTCCACCACAAGCGCTGGTAGCAGCAGCAGCTGCCGCCGCCGCTGGTGGTATAGATGGACTTGGTCAAACGCTAATACGCCGCAATGTGGCTAGCTCAAGTTTGAACATAGCCGATGGCAAAGCAGCAACGTGTGAACACCAGCGACATTCCGGTGAGTTACATACATATATACATATATAGCGCGCGCAAAAAACAACGAAAATCGTAAATAAAAACTCTCGATTACAGCTCCTCCAGTAGATGCCAAACAAGCCGGCGCTTACTCCAATTCAGGTGCAGCGTCACCCGCGGCACGCAGCGGCCAGCCGCTTAATGCCGATGGTACAAACGCCAGCTGTAGCAACGATGCTATTGCTGGCGCAGGCATTGCACTGATAGTGGCCGGCACCGCTTCTTCCACATCGGCTTCATCGTCACCCACACCGTCGACATCTTCCTCGTTGCCCACCACAGTGATGGCGGCCACAAGCAGCAGCACACCCAAGTCAGCTGCGCACGCGGCTGTGTCCAGCTTTAAGAGGCTCACACAGAAGGCGCTGCTACGCTTGAAATTCCCCACGGAATTACATGTGGTCTACTTGGGTGTGCTGCTCACCATGGTGTTGGCGTTGTTTTCCGTTTTCCTGCTCTATCGAATACTAGACATTGAGGCGAAAACGAGCGCGTACCGCACGCCAACTGAATTTCATTGGGTAAGTGGTGGAGGGCGGCTAAGTGAGGTAGAAGAAAATTATATACGGATGTTTTTCGTTTCTCCAGCAGCGTTCCGGTAACGATGACGATATATTTGCAGAGGCTTTGCGTTGGCAAAGGGAATTGCAAGCAAAAAGTACCGAAGAAGCTCAGAATATACTTACACAAAATTTAGAACAAATTGCCAAGGTGGGTAACGTTTTCTTAACCACTTAAATCATTTTCAGTTTGGCAGTGGCAATTTTTTCTTTTAATATCGTTTATTTGCTAAAAGTAAGCGACGGCTCAACGACGGCTGTTGCTTGTTTGGTTTCTCTTCTCTCATTTGACGCTGTAACCGCCTAAGCGAGTTCAATAAAGCACGAAAGTCGTTTCTCTTCTGCTTTTTTGGTTTACTTTTGATTTGATTTTATTTTAAGTGTTATCACCTCAATAGAAAGCGCATGATTACTCCAGTCTCAGTCATATATTAAATTAGATTACCCACTTCAATTAAAAAAAATAAAAATTTGCATTGCTGATAATCATGCTATAAATAAGTCCTAATTTTTCACAAATCTAAGCCAGTAAAAAAAAAAAACAATTTCCTATTTAAAGCTTATAGTCTTGCTTTCAAGAAAAATCACAAGAAATATTTTTAATTTTTTCTGCTGCTTGAAAAGCAGTTTTGCTGTAAATTTTCTTGAAGAAATACTACAAATAAAATCAGTACGCAGCTCTCAAGAAAAAATGCTCCTATATTTATGTATGTATTTCTTCAAGAAAATTTACAGCATCAGCAAAGTACTTTGTGACTTTTCTTGAGAACTGCAGACATCCGTTTGAATTTAATTAAATTTAAAGTGGCATACATACGTAAAATTAGTAAAAATCAACGCGACTTTTTAGCCGGTTGAAACTTGCACTTTATTAGACAAAAATTGTATGGGCCATAAAACTGCATATCTACCGAAAAATGTTCAGATTAAAAGATCGAAATTTTTATGAAAATTTATAGAATTTTCCTAAATTTTGAAACTGTGATTTATATGTTTTTTGTTAAAGCTTAAAATAACAAAAAGAATTTAGCTCAAAGAAGATTACGAATATTAAAAAAAAAAAATCAACACGTGGTCATTTGTTTGAGTCACTGTATGTAAGTTTGTATTTACATGCTATGAGTTAATGCATTTGTACTTATTGTTTATTTATTATATTGCACCTGCTCATAATCAAATATAAATGTCAGATGTGTGCGCAATAACAACAATTAAGTTTTGTAATTTTTTTCTAATTTCAAAGCAAAGCTTATCAGCGCTGAAAATAAGCTTACCTAGATAACACTAGTCAATATTGAGCAGTAAATTAGTTATAAAACTTAAAACGAGCGCCAAAACATTTCGTTTTAACATATTTTCAACTTTTTTTTTTTTAGTTAGTGAGCGCCTCTAATGTTTTCCAGCGCTGAGTAATTACAAAAATAGGGTAAAGTAGGCATATTTATGTGATTATCAAAACTCCCGTCAGAATTTATCTATTTATATGGCAAAGTCCATAATTGGAAATCTCTTAAGTCTCAGTAACCAATAAGAGGATTATTTTCTATGAAAAAAAAGCCGTATTATAATTTCAATTCATGTCTACTTGGCGAACCGTTGTGGTCCTCTTGGCCCTTCGTTAAAATACGGAATACAATCGATTTATTAGTTCATTCATACACATACTTATGCCGTAGTACTTATTGCTGAAGGCGATAGCACAGCGGTGTTCCAGAAAACGGGGAAGAGCTTAACCCTCTGCAGCGGACGCAATTCTACTGACGTGTAGTCTGACATGTCACTCATTTTCTACACCAAAATATATTTCTTAGCTATTTACTAATAAGTTCCTTTTTGCACTGAACTGCAACTTTCAAAATCCTTGGCAGGATATAAATCTGGGTCGTTCTAGTCCCGTAGACACGACTGCAGTGGGAATACTGCCAGAGTGAACTCGTTAAGTATAGTTCATAAGTTTTGTTCGGAGAGAACGCAAATAGCTATAGCGCGTGTATCCAGCGCCCCTACAATGCATTTTCAGCCAATCTTAGCGCCTGAATATATATTATCGTGGTCTACTTATGTTGTTAGCATTATGTTTTGAATTTGGACCACAACTGCAATTCCATCTGTTTTGTTTTATATTGAAGTGCTTCTCTTCCGAGTTATTCCGAAATTATCAAAACCTTGTCAAGGATTGAGATTTAATAATGGATACCACACCGATTAGGATCTAAAACTCGGTTTTAACTTGACGGTTGTTTTCGTAACAGCATACAAATTCCCCCAAGACAGTCCTCAGCCAGATGTAAATCTGGGTCGTTCCGGTTACGTCGTGGGAACGGTTTTAATTTGGTCAACAGTTGTCCTTTTTGGCTTTTTAAGCCTCCCTAAATGAATGCCTTTATCTACGGTTATCTGCAATTGCAACGTTGCCAATTTTCACCTCATCCCTCTTCATGCTACGCATATTTTAAGTTTACTATAGTTATTAGCCTTTAAATTTACGCACAAATATTTTTATTATGTTATTTATATTGAAGACATTATTGTAAATTAATATAAATGGTATTGCAGCCTTTATATTATTGTATCTCTTGTCTCTCCTCCACACTCATTGCAGGTACGTCGCAGCTTAGAAACACTCTCAATGTTAATCCATGACCGAAGCTCAGCTTATGCAGATCGCGATGATAGTGACTGAATTTATATTTTTAATTAATATATTATTACTAAATATTAAAGGTTAAATTGGAAGACCTACACATGCACACCATAAAAAGTACATTCATACATACTATGTAGGTTCACAATAATTTTTAAGCAAATGAAATGAAATACTATTATATTTAGATAATTATATTATGAATACAAGAAAAACTGCGTACTAAAGAAGGCGAATGCATGTAGAGAATGATGAAATGAAAAGCGCAATAGTGAATAAGTGAAGCGAGAAAAAAACTTAATTAAGCAAAAACTAGAAGAGGAAAAAATAAAATAAATAAATAACATTGAATATTTAGCCCGCAAACATATGTATGTATTTCAGAAACACTTTTCTTAGTTACTGTGCACATTTCAAGTTGAAATACCTTTACTAAATAGTATTAACCTAATATTATTAAGTGTAAACAACGCTGTCAAAAGAAAGTAAGCGAGCAAGCGAAGTTTTTTTTTTAGCATTCTCGTGCATATTTTGAAATGAGCCGACTGCCAAATTTAAGATTTTTTGTTAACTACAAACTATTTATATTTTTATATATAAAAAAAAAAACATTTCTTTGCATATGGCTGTGCTTTCAAGTCACTTTTTTATGGTTCCTATTAAGGGTTAAAGTATTATTTTGGTATAACATGTACATAGTCATGTCAGTATGTGCCAAAGGTATTTTAAAAACGTGCGAATGGAAGAACTACCGCAAGTCGAGGAAGGCTACCTGTTCACTGTAGGCAATCTACTCATTTCAAAATATGTGCATGTAAAGAGCAGGCCTTTTGTGTGATAATTCAGAGTTCTATAGTAGCCATTGCAATTAAAAGTATGCACAAGTTATTAAGAATATATCGTCACCTGAAATGCAAAACAGACGTAACATCATGAAATGAAATGGAAAAAGTCGGTCACTAATATTTTAACTTTTTTCACAAAATGATGTGGGGAGTTTTAATTCGATGAAATCCATCATATAAATCAGAAAGTGAATTTTGATTTTTTTTATTAGTTATGATTTTTTGAATTTCAACGAAGATGTTTGTTACGTCGTTTTTTCGTTTTAGGTGGCGATATGTATTTTTGAAATTCAGATTCCATTAAAGATTATTATATTTTTTAGAAATTTGGCAACGTCGCAAAGACGGATTAGTGTATTGCCAACGTAACGCAAATGATGGCCGTAGGTGTATTAGGATGATAAGTGTGAAATTTGGCAACACTGCAAGAGTTCATAGAGCAAGTTGGCCGCATGCATAAAACAGTGAAACTTGATAAGGCAGCAAAGCATAGGCGTTCAAGTAATAACGTGCCTAGTATTATAAAACCTAATAAAAAAAGTATAATATCACTTTTCATTAAAAAATTGAAAACATTAAAAGTATGAGGAAAATAATGAAAATTGGCAAAGTGCGAAGCGCTCGGATAATAAAAAGTCCTATGAAATATTGCAAAAATATCGAAGATGACAGCAGCTCTGGGCACAAGAAGTTAGTTGAAACAGCACAGAGCTGACTGAAAATTTGCAACATTGCATGGCAGTTGAATAAATCCAAAATTGTGGAAGTGCTCAAAATATTTTCCACTGAAAGCGGAACTGCGAGCCGGTTGGCCGGTTATTGAAAAAGTTAGTTTATATTGAAAGAAAGCGATTACTTTTCAAATGTGAAATAGGTGCTGTTGCCAATGAAGTACCACTTCATGGCGGTTATGGGAAAAAGAAACAAATATAAAATTTTGGTACTAAATATCAGCCATTTGGGATTTTGATTATTAAATGCATTGTTGCCAATTTTGCATGCAGCAGAAACTGTAAACTTTTTCAGTGTCTGCTAAGTGAAGAAAAACGTATTATTTTCACGGAAAAAAATACACTATAAAGGGGGATTCATCTTTGTAATTCTGAACTTTTTCTTCTATGTGGTTGTTGTTTTGGTTCTCTCTCTGATGTTAGAAAAATTTATACATTTGCGCTTGCTTGCTATGCTCTACTGCACTGCTCGAATGATTGCAAATAAACTATATCTTCGCATTTTTAACTAAGAAAAAAAAAATGAAATATTTTACTTCACAAGCGATAATTGCAACTAAATTTACTACACTTGCAACAAAAAAGTGAAATAAAAAAATTCATAAACCAAGAATATTAAATTTAAAGCCGCTAGCAGCTAGAGAAAAAATAAAAAAAGAATAAAAAAATGTACGAGAAAGCAACTAAAAAGCCTTTCTGTAGCAAAAAAAAAAACAAGCTGGGACATGGTGCAATGTTGGAGACGTTTGTAGGCCGCGGCAAGTAGCCAAACGGCGCGCTTGCGCAGTGCCACGCGTCATAATAAAATAATAAAGCAAAACAAAACATTTGGCTCATTCAATATCATTTATGTAAACATAACAAAAAAAAAATACAGTTAAACAAAATAAAAAAATAGCATACCATTTCCCTGTCCCCGCAAATGTACATACATATGTATAGTTTTTTAAGCATATTTTTAAGAATTCTTTCGTTAACTTCTTAGCTGCGCGCGCCTCAATAAAATTTAAAAAATTTAAAAATTTTAATTTCGAAGTTGAAAACTATTTCCCATTTGCATAAAAATTAGCTTTCAAAAAAAAAAAAGAAATTTTAATTTTGCTTTCGAAGTTATTAATGCACTTTTCGTATTTCCCATAATTTTTATAGCAATTTGAAAGCGAAAGATTCCCCTGTGATACATAATAAACATACATATATGTATGTATAAGAAAATGCAAAAAAGTAATGCAGCAAAAATTTAAGTAAATTTTCTGTATTTAGCTAAAATATATTTAAACTTTTATAAGTGCGAACGATTTTTGTTTAGTTTTCCATAAGTTTAGTAAAAAAAGGTTTAAAAAAAAATATAAAATATTGGTTATGTTAATCGTGTTATATCGTAAGTTATCTAAGTACTAATAAAGTAAGCTTTTAACACCTAAGAAATGTTTAGCTTGTGTGCAATTAACTAATCTTATTCGTAAACAAGTTTTAAAAAATTTCCCCATGCTATGTGACTGTATGTAATGTAAAATTTTGTATTTTTTGTTAAATTTCATACATTTGTTATAAAATTTTTTCACCTCTATATACGCTCTATTCCTTCTGCTGGCTCTTGAGCACTTTTGCTGTCGTAACTAACCATTTCAAAAAATTTTATAAAAATATTTTTTTTTTGTATCTTAGTGGCGTAACAAAAAAAAAATTAACTCAAATTTATTATGTGTTTTTGTATGATTATTAGCATTCGACGAAATTAATATTAAAATACAAAATTTAAATATTTAGCTGTAGCTTTGGCATGACTCAAAGTGGTCGCATGCAAACCAATATAATCCACACTTCCATTAAAAAAGAAGAAAATAATTGCAAAATGAAAATAAGTAAATAAATAAAATTATTGAGAAACATATTTTTAAAAATGTATGTGTAAAAAATAAAACAATATACGACAGTAGTTGTGTATGTAATGATGTATAGCAATAATTTCTGTTTAAAGGAAATTTGTGTAGTATAAAATTAAAATTTTTAAATAAAAAATAATAATTTACAGTCCCAATTGGCTTGTAGTAAGTAGTTGATAAAAATATATTTAATTGTGCGAAAAAATGGAATAAATAAATCCAAATACATACTAGCGTAACCAGCAGCAATTTGAATGGGAAAAGGTTTAGCATACAAGAAAAAAATTATATATAAAATACGATTAAATATAATACTCAATAAAATATGCAATTTAGTGCAAAGGTAAAAAATAACAAAAAAAAAAGTTGTATTAACAAAAACAATGGAACTAGATCGTTGATAGGCAAAAGAACGAGCAGTGATAAGATTTTTAAGAGCGGTAAGTAAATTTTATAGGTCGATTTAAGTCAGCAGTATAGATTGATAAGCATTTTAAAGAATCACTTCTTCTTAAATTTTTGCTCAAAAATATTACTTTATAAAATTCCAAAAATATATTTACCGAAATCCCCATATAAACAAATTCATAAGTACACTCAGTAACTGACAAAAACAATTCAACGATTTTGCTGTTTTATTTGCGGAATAACCGTTAAAAAGATATCTAGAAACTTTCGAGAGGTGAGTATTTGTTTTCTAATTTTTGGATCTGAAATTTTTCCCAATAATTTTTTGGAAACAAAAAAAAACATATAAATCCAAATGGCTAACGAATTTCTACGACGTTCGCTGGTAGGGGACACTTTCGGCGAATTTTTCTGCAAAGGTTTTAGTATTTATAGTTTGCTGCCAAATATGCACAAATCAGTTTGGACCAATTTTTTCAGGCCTCTTAAACTGTCGGCACCGCAACTTCAATTGTGATACTCGAAGTGTTTGTTGTAATGCGTGAATTTTCGAAAACGACAAATGAAAATTGCGTGGAAATATTGTAAAAAAAAAATTTCAAAGTTGGACTTGAGATCCGTTAAAATTGTCTTAATTTGACGTCTTTTCTAATAAAATTTTTCGTTTCGCCAACAAAGCAGCCACGAATGGAAAGAGGGAGTTTTCATCTAAAATTGAAAAATGTGAAAACGCTTTTGCCGTGCCCCCTTTTATCCTTTTTGTGCTCCGAAACAAATTAAAATTTGAATTTTTACACATTTTTCTAAATAAAAAGTTACAATTTTAGTTTTTGAGAAATATGAATCTATTTTGTAAATCTAGAAGGAATTCCACAATTAATAGTTTAAAAACGAGTGACGGAAACTGCGTGCAAATATTTTTAAAAAACATTGGGTTTTCACAAAAATTGTATATGCATGGGATTCGAAATCGTATGAGACGTCGACTGCGGTACTTCTCAATAAAATCGGAATAACGGTTAAAAAGATATTTAAGAGCTATCGAAGAGGTGAAGAAGGTAGCTCACGAATTTCTACGTCGTTCTCCATACGATTTTGCCCTTAAAAATATCGAAATTTACGCCGAGAACTTGCCTTTTCCTGAAAGGATTTGGCACATTTTTAAAACTAGTTTTAAAGAAATATATGCAAATCTGCCAACAAACGGCCCCGATATCAATAAAACAATAATTTTTTAATATTTTCTGGGTTTTTATTAATTCTTTTCCTGCTATATGCATATCTTTTATTTCAAAATTTTCACATACATACTTCTAAATGCGTACATGTGTTTTGGTTGTATAAATTTTGCAAATACAATTACATTTTTTTTTTTGTTCATTATTTTCGCTTAGGCTTTTGTAATATATTTTTTGCGCTTATATTAAAAAAAATTAGACTTGCTAATTCCCTTTTTTCTTTTTTATGTATTTATTACCATAAATAACTACGTATACATGAATACAAAAGGTTTGTTTAAGTTTAGGAGCAGCATTTTTCGCTTTTTTAACTTTTATTTTTTTAATTTTTATTTGGGTTTTCCACTTGGATTTTTTAAATTTTTTTCTATCGATTTGAAAATATGTATCTTTGTGGGTTTACTAGTGACCCACTCTCACCTTCCGCTAAGCATGGCTTCGTTACGGGGAAAAAATATTCTGCGTTTGATTTAGTTTTAAATTAAGAAATG